CTGCACCAAATACTTTTTTCAAAATATCTAAATGTTCTTCGTAACTGTTGGTCGCTATTAGAATGTCGTCTAAGTACAAAATAATTTTGTTTGCTCGAATTAATTTATTGAAAACTAAATTAATAAATCTGTTAAAAACTCTTGGGGCATTAGTTAACCCAAAAGGCATTCTAAGATATTCAAATTGCCCTAAAGGTGTGATAAAACTAGTAAATTTAATCGACGATTCTGCTACACGAACATGATGGAAACCATCCTTAAGATCAAGGGTCGTAAAATATCTTTTGTTTCGAAGTCGATCCAGATTGTCTTCTATCAAAGGAGTAGGAAAGTTGTCTTTAATAGTAATTTTGTTTAATTCGCGATAATGAACGCAAAGCCTTAAATCACCTGTCTTTTTTCTTACCAGTACAATTGGACTACAGTAATCAGAGCTACTAGGTCTAATAATGCCTCGTTCTAATAGATCATCTAACATGTTTTGTAATTTTTCTTTTTCAGAAAAGGATAAACGCCGTGGTCTAAAAGAGATTGGTTGATTATTCTTAACACAAATGTTCATTTCGTAATTACAATCAATCTTTGGCGAGTCATTACATAAATAAAAATTATCATACACTTCCAAAACTTCCACTTTTTTATCATAATCTAAACAAGGATTGATCTGTACTTCTTTGTTACTTTTTATTTCTTCACCTACCTTAAAATCGACATGCAAAATTTCGTCAAAGTTATTTACTTTCTCAAATTCGTTTGAAATAATTTTTAAATGATCTCCTAACGTAAACGTGAAACCCTTGGTATTGAGAAAATCTCTACCTAATATAGCGTTAAAGGACATGGTGCTATTAGGAACTACATAGAATTTTATGGGTAAAACAGTTTCATTAACAAATACTTCCGTGTTAAAAATACCCAAAATATAAAGCTTCGATCCATTCACACCCACGAAATTTAAATTTGGATTTAGACCTTCATTGAAATTATTTTCGGTGACATACCGAACTTTTACAACTGAAATTGGGCTACCTGTATCGATTAATGAATTCAAATTATAGCTACATTCGGTTTGACAATCATCTTTAACATTAATCTTAACGTTTACCATATAGGGATCTTGTGTCTCGGTTGATATCACATTGGTGGTGTTGTCTTCCTTTTTCTTCCCTGGACAATTCCTCTTCTGATGTTCCTTTGAACCGCAATTGTAACAGGAACCCTTTTCCCTCACCGGAATTGGACAATTTGAGGCGAAATGGCCCACACCATTACAATTATAGCATCTTCTAATTATGTTCTGATTTGGAGGGGGTTTACTACTGCCCTTCGCTCCTACAGACCCCGGAGAATAAGTTTCTTTGTTTTCGTTATGCTTTCGGAAACGTTGACCAACAAATTGAGTCGAAGGTGTACGGGTCTTTCTAATCTTCTCATAAACTTCAATTTTTTTCTTTAAGTCGACATAAGTTTTAGCTTCATACAACAAAAATTTTTGTTCAGGATCATCGTTGATACCTTGAATGACATACTCGATTACTGACTCCTCTTCAATTTGACCCTTTGAAGCGAGTTCACGCATCCTCAACAAGTATTCCTGGAGAGATTCTTCTTTTTTCATTTTTCTATTATTCAGCATGCGATGCAGTTCAGCAGTGCTCACCTTCTTGGAAAATTCACTCAATAACCTGCGTTTCAAGTCCTTCCATGTACCCAAATTCCTCTGATTTTGGATAAATAACTTAGCAAGCCCAGTTAATGATTTCTTCGCAAAAACTAGTCGTTGCAGTTCCGACCACTTCATAAGTTTAGCGATGTCTTCAAAGTCTGCGACCCAAGTCTCGATTGCATAATTGTCATCACCACTAAAAGTGCGTACGGAATCTTCGATGTCTCTGAAAGACATGGTGAACGTAGGGACTGCTGCCGCGCCTGCTCGACCATCATGACTGTCTACCGGATCATCTTCGTCGTCCTCGTCTTCACTTTCTTGTTCTTGAACAACTCTTTCTTGTGTAAACAGATCAAAATCAGTCAACACTGAACAAATTCTCTCGGCCACTTCTTGGTGAGTACCTGCACAATTCAACCCCAGTAGAAGGCCGACTCCACAAAGTTCTGCGATCGTAAAATTCTGCACTACCTCATCCACTTTCTCACTGAAGTCATCTGATGCGATCTCAAAAGGGAAACCCGTCCATTGACACAGCTTCTTTCTGTTCAACCGACTACCGTCGTCAAAGGCAAGGCCGTATAGCGTACGTACCGATGCATAAGGACCATTCTTAATAGCGTCGTCACACAACTCCACTTCTCGGAGGGTTCTTGCCATCTTCTCCTTTTATGAAAACGCGATGAGTTGACATAACCTCACATTTCCCACGTGCTTGACTCTTCTACCATTTATCCGTGTAACTATTCCATGAATCAGCACTTCACAAACACAAATCGGACATTGGTCATTCCGATGTTAAGGTCGTTCATCCCACACCTGAAATTGTAGTCGGTTTTTTTAGTAAAAACTAATTTTTAATCTTCGAACGAGCGGTTTTATTAAAATTCTGTTTAGATCCCGTCGTGTCCCGTACTGCTTCGCCCTCACTGCTGCCATCTAGTTGTAGCGCCAAATTTGAAATTTTAAATGTAGGTGACCACATTAATAAGATTATTTTTTAGACGAAGTTGCTTTTCCCTTTTTTTTTTTGAAAAGTAGTTACGTCACACCAATTTCTAAATCCGGAAATTAGCCTTTGTTCAAAAATTACAAGTAGACGCTGTATATACGGATTTTTCGAAGGTATTTGACAAAGTAAACCATAGAATTTTAATATACAAATTAGATGACATGGGATTTGCTCCTGGCACTGTTAATTGGTTCGCTTCATTTTAAGTTGATAGATCACACCAAGTAAGAATCGGTTCTCATTTATCGTTCCCTTATTCTGTATTATCTGGGGTCCCTCAAGGGTCGCATTGTGGATCTATTTTATTTGATTGTTTATTAATGACTTAATTTCCCATTTTCGTTTTTTAAAATCACTTCTATTTGCTAATGACTTGAAATTGTTTAAAATTATTAGATCCTTAATTCATGCGTTGGAGTTGCAATATGATCTGAACATTTTATTTGATTCAAAACTGACTTTCAATCAAACATTGCTATTGTCGTCTCCCGTCTTGTTGAAAATAACCTTCCATTTCATCGTCGGAGAGTTGTGGTATAAAATCTGTCAAAATTCTTGCTGATATCGTTTCACAGAACACATACGAATTCCATTCCAAAGTTGGCTCGATTAAAATTAGATTGCTCGCCGTTATATATTTGTTTTTACCCAGAGAAAAATAAAATTAAGTTTGTATCGATCTGTCTGATAGAATTTTTTCGTTTTGTCACATTTTCGTCAGTTTGAAAATTTGAAACAATCAAAGACAAATCTTCAAAAAGCCGTAGCTATCTTTGATCCTGTTTTTAGAACTCTCTCAATAGTTATTCGAACTTTAGTCCGTATCTGCGGCATTTGTTTTCAGTAGATACTAGCCAGATTTAGAGCACAGTTCGCTGCCACTACAACTTACAGCAACAACTACAACGCTCGGTAATTTCGCAAAGAATCTCTCGCCCCCAGCTCCGCCCCTGGCCCTTGATACGAATGTTTATGTCCTGCGGATTTTATTTAACATCGTAAAATGGGGTTTGCATGATGAACAGTTATTGCCGCGAAATATTGTGTTGCCAAATGTCTGCGCGGTACGTCTGCCGCAAAGAGGATTAAGATCCGCTATTTATTGCCGCCATCTTGCGACGTCTTTAATAAAATCTGAAATTTGATGTTTCGCGCGAATTTATTCATGCAAGCAGCGGTTAATTTACGATCAACAAAGCCAGGGCAACTCACTTACATCTCAAAAAAGTTAATGTTGTTCGACGCGAAGACAGGGAAAGGCGAAAGACATCCCGAACTAACATGGCGCTACAATGTTTCTGGGGTAAATCTGACAACGCCGCGACGTACGACGTTCATTACGCGCAGTGAGCTGTCAACTAACGTTACGCTGAAATGAGAATGTTGGCAACATTGTTTATTATGAGGAAACTTCACGTAATGTCGTAATATACGGGAGGCGTCTTCGCAAGGAAGTTGCGATTATCGATAAGATTTAGTAGTTGCGGGGTGTCTTCGTTAGTGACGTAGACTTTGTAATCTTTTGTTTCGTTCCGTGCTCGGTTGCGGTCCACCTGCAGCTATTAGCAGCTGCAAAGCGTCTTGTGTAAGCGTTCAATTAATTTAATCGTTCTATCTATTCCTGATAATTGCAGGGATTTGTTCAACCCTCTTAATTCGAATCAGCGTTAAGTAGAAATTACCAGCGTCTCCCATCTGCCTTAATTAAGTAAATATTAACAATGTGTCTCCCCTTGCAAATGCGCAACGTCATCCACATCTCGCGTCATAACATCCAAGTTTTACCGACTCTGCACTCAGCAAAGGAAACTTTGTTACAACGCGTTTATCAGTCATTCAATTTGGATTTTAATTAACGCTTAAACTGAACCCAAGTCAACTTATTTTATGCTAATTTATGCAGGTGAATTTCTTACTACGTTGAATGCGAGCGAGGACTGAAAAACTGTTGCCTTAAATACGATACACAATGTAGATGAATATATAACATAGGGCGGTGTCAATTTATGTTCTAAGCGTAAAAAAATATATGAACTTAGCGCAAAACCATCTGTCTGTTTTCATGGAACACACAGACGTCTTTAAATCAAGCTTCAATATGCCGGGGAGCGGTTCCGTTCCCCCATACAAGAGCACCGATTGATTGAACTCCCACACAAAAAAATCATTCAAGTGCGATTTTTTCGAGCCATTTAGTTTTTCAGCTGCGGCTCGCTGGGGTTAATTCCGAAACATTTAAGAGAACGGCTTCGATTCCGCCCGATTTGGGCCAGCGCATATTTTGTTGTGATTTTATTAAATTTCTCCTCTTTGTTTCAGCCTCGTACTCGGCTCGCAGCGACGGAACGGACGGTACCGGCACGGGAATTTCCAAGTTGCAGTTGACGCTGTCGAGAGGTGATTTGAACGCGCGTTACGAATGCAAAGTGGAGAGCCAGGCCTTGGACCAGCCAATAACTAAGGGAGTCACTGTTCCCGTCAAAGGTAAGTTTCGTTCGTTGCTTATTTTATCGAGAATGGGAGGTGGTGTGGTAACGTCGAGAGTAATACTAATAAAGCAGAAAAAAGGAGTTAGTTGATACGGGAGGATCGAATGTGTCGTGTGGATAATTCTATGAGCAGAGGGATTGCAAAAAGTCAAAAATATGGTAAAGTATATGAATATTAAAGCGGTTCATTGGTATTCATCGCATGGATAGAGCTTTTATCATTTTACACATTTTCAATTCTGTTATCCGTCCATTAGTGCAACAGGTGCAAACTGTCACAAGTAACACAATCTGTTTACGTATGAAACCATGGCTAACTCTAATTTCCAATTTTTTCATCGCGCTTTAACTGCTATACAAAATCGTCTAGTGTATTGTAATCGGAAATCAGTCCAAAAGCAAAAATCAGAAGACACAGCTGCCTGCTTTATTAAAGTGATATTTATTGCTAACCCGCCACTGGATATTATATATTAATGTTGTATGAATATTTAACAACAAATGAGTGGACGGCATGAATATTACGATTTTTATGATTTTTGGATGCTTTATATTATGTACCCACAACGCTATTAATAATAATGCTTTGTCGTTTCAATTGATATTGGTATTGATGTAATTTCACCATTTCAATATGAATAGCAATATTAATAACCATTATGTCATGTGAATATAGTTGCGACGGTTTTATTTACTTCGGAAATGTAATTCATTTTCAAAATAACATAACTGATATTTTATAATAATGCGCTTTTTTCGTGTTGTTAAAACTGTTTCAGAACATGTAATAGTAAAAAGGAAACCTAATAACTGAATATTTCCATATCATCCATTAATGATACTTTTTTTACGCTATCGAAATCCGGATCTAGATCAACCACTTTTGTACAATTGTAATTATAATGTCATATAGCTTATTATGTTATAGTTTAGATAATAATAGGAACTTGTTCCATTTTTTTTTCAAGCGACATGATACTTTTAGATTTGTGATCAAGTTTTCGTTGTTCATAGTCAATAAATTACGTGGTTGCCTATAATCTCGCGTCATAACACCACAAATTTTGCTTTATTTTCAGTTTCGGGCTTATTTTTGTTACAACTTTCTAGAAAAATTTTCTCCGAAGAAGAAATTCATGTCTGAGTTGATCTTACGTCCGTGAGGGTTAGCAAGAGAATGGTGAATGAAGCCCTACTCTGTTTTCGGGAATTTCGCGAAAAATTTCCTAGTGTTTCTGTTTTTGAAGAAAATTGTTTGACGACAGTCAATTACGTGATCAAATTATTTCCTGAAACTAGTAGCATTAAGAGGAAATCAGGAAGTCGCACATTAACGACAACGAACTCCCAAGACTGTTCAGATAACAAGCAGAAGCGGTTAAATGAAAATGAAATTTGACGGATTTTGTCTTCTCAACACAGAGGGGAGGACGGAATAATTAATCAGCCAATCACACTTGTAAGGCACGAGTACGGTCCTGACTACGATAAGCAGAACACGCTCCGAAATCCAAACTCGAAAATCGAGAGATATCGAGCGTCAAAAGCGAAAGAGAAGTAGTAGAAAACAAAGAAGTGAAGTGGAATAAGAGTAAGAAGCAACAAGAAGTGTAAGGACAGCAATTATTCGGGAAAGTGTGGAATCAAAAGAACCTAACCTCCGAAGAGATAGTCTGGGTGACAGTTCTTATCGCGGCGCGAAGTAAACAACACAGGAACGTACTAGATACACAGGAAGCAAGAAAGTCGGCCAGGGAATGCTAAACGGGAAGCCTGAACCGGAAAAAGGACACAAACTAGCAATAGAAGAACAAGACAACCAGAAACGAAAAAGAGAAACCTCCTTTTCACCATCACCGGAAGGTCAAAGAGTACAGAGGAAGCAGAAGAGGGTACAAGCAGGAGACATGGACGAAGTAAAGAATATGTTCAAAACGTTAATGGAGGAAATCGCAGAAATGAAAAGAGACCAAAGAGCATACCAAAGAGAAGTAACAACAGTAAGAGAAGAAAACCAAAGACTGACCGAAAGATTAGAAGGAGTGGAGCAACACTTAGAAAAACTGGAAAAAGCAGAAAGGAGAAACAACATCGTAATCAAAGGAGGGAAACTACAAGGAAGCGAAATAACAGCAGAGGTTGAAGAACTCCTAAAAAATAAGGTAGGAATCCAAACTAAGATACAAGACGCAAGATTAGTCAGCGAAAAATACGACATAGTAGTAACAAAGATAGAGAACTGGGACACAAAAAGAGCAATCATGAAACAGAATAACAAATTAAAAGGATCAAAAACGTTTATTGAAGACGATTACACCAAACAAGAGAGCGAGATACAGAAGAAAATAAGAGGAATAGCAGCAGCAGAAAAAGGGAAAGGAGTCGAGACAAAAGTAGAGTCCAAAAGATGATATGGGCAGGAGTCTGGCATTGGGACACTAAATTAGACAAATTAGTGAAAGCACCGTCGCACCCCAAAGAAAATCCAAAAAACTAACAGAGGAAGAAACCACACATCGGAAAACAATGACAACGTATGCAAAGCTCATGGATGACCCGATAGGAATTACGAAGAGAAAGAAAAACCCGAAAATTAGAATAGGAACTTGGAATGTTCGAGGAACATATAGCGAAGGAAAATTCAAACAAATAGTTCAAGAATTGCAAAGGTATAATATAGATGTAGCAGCTATACAAGAGACGAAACAAAAAGGCAAATTCATCACTGAAATAGATAACTACATATTATTTAATAGCGGAATTGACAACAGAGAGCTAGGAACAGGATTCATGGTGAAGAAGAGCCTGAAAGGAGCAGTAATTACCTTCAAACCAATCTCAGAAAGAATGAGCTAATAAGATTGAGAAGTAAGTACAGGAAAATAAGCCTACTGAATATACATGCACCGACTGAAGAGAAAGATCTAGAAGTAAAAACAAAATATTACGAAGAACTAGAAAGAGAATATGTGAAAATACCAAAGCATGACATTAAAATGGTTATAGGAGGCGCCAAAGCAATGATAGGTAAAGAGAATTGCTACAGGCCAACAATCGGGAAAGAAAGCAAACACCAAAAAACGAATCAAAATGGAGAAAAACTGATAGAGTTTGCAGAAGAAAATAAAATGGTAGTCAAAAGCACCTTCTTTGCGCAGAAAGAGATCTACAAAGGCACATGGATGTCGCCTGACGGAAACACGGTCAACCAAATAGACCACATACTGGTAGAAAGGAGAGATGCCCAACTAATAACCAGATTAAGAAGCTACAGGGGAGCAGAAGCGAATTCAGACCACTTTCTAGTAAGAGCAGACCTCAAACAAGAAATACCGAAGAAAAAAGAAGGAAAGAAGACGCAACGTGATATAAATGTAAACAAACTTAAGAAAGCTGAAGTACAACAGGAATACGAACAAAAGATGAATGAGAGAATAAGATCAACAGAGCAAGACATACCTATAGAAGAGAGGTGGGAAGAACTACAAGAGGACATATGGAAGACCTCGGAAGAAGTACTAGGGTTCGTCAAAAAAGACAACAAAAATAGAAACGAATGGTTTGACGAGGAATGTAGAAAAGCAATAGAAGCGGGGAGGTCAGCCAGACAGAAATATCTAAAATCAAAAAATGAGAAGAACCAAAAAGATTACCAAGAAAAAAGGAAAGAGTACAAGAAGATATGCAGAAATAAGAAACGAGCAAAGATGGAAGAACAAATACGACAAATAGAAGAAAACTTCAACAAAAATAAAATAAGGAACTGCTATCAGGACCTGAAAAAAGAGAAAAGAGGCTATCAACCACGAGTAATATATAGTAAAGACAAGGACGGCAACCCGATAGGAGACGAACAAGCAAGAATAAAACGATGGGCAGAATACTTTGAAGAGCTGCTAAACGAACAGGATACACAGCAAGATACGAACGAAGGAGTGAACGACTCGGATGACCCAGATGAAACAACAGAAATTGACGAAGGAGAGATCAGAGAAACACTAAAGCAGATGAAAAACAACAAAAGTCCTGGTAGAAACGGAATAAAGGGTGAGATGCTAAAGTACGGAGGAGAAGCAGTAGCATCAGAGATACATCGACTAGTGCTAGACTGTTGGAAGGAAGGAAAAATGCCAGAAAAATGGAGTGAAGCAGTACTTTGCCCGATATTTAAAAAAGGAGATATTACGAAATGCGAAAATTATCGCGCAATAGCGCTGCTAGACATAACGTATAAGGTAATGGCCACTTGCATCAACCGAAGACTAAAGCAGCATATGGAAAAAATAGTAGGAGAATATCAAGCAGGGTTTAGGAAAAATAGATCTACTGTAGACCAGATATTTATATTGAAGCAACTACAAGAAGTACATTACGAACAGGGAATCAACTTATATCTGCTGTTCATAGACTTTAAAAAAGACTATGACACGGTTAACAGGAAAGAACTGCTAGAACCAATGCAAGAACTGGGAGTCCCAAGAAAACTAATAAAACTGACAAAGATGACCCTGCAGAGCACCAGAAACAGAGTCAGGATAAATGGTCTGTTGTCAGAACCATTCCAAGTAAGAACAGGACTCCGGCAAGGAAATCCAATATCAACTACCCTGTTCAATCTAGTACTCGAAGTAGTAGAAGTGGCATCCACAGAACGAGCACGATATACGAAAAAAGACACCAAAATATAGCCTTTGCAGATGACGTGACATGTATAACGAGAACAGAAGCAGAAATGAAGAAAATGACAAAAAATCTAATCAGAGAAGCGAAACGAATGGGTTTAGCGATCAACCAAGAGAAAACGAAGTTTATGAGGATAGAAACAAAACAAACCCCAGCAAAACCACTGAAAGTAACTACAGAAGAAGGAACAACATACGAATTCGAAGAAGTAAATAGGTTCAAACATCTAGGAGTAGTAATTACAAACAAAAACGAAATGAACGAAGAGATAGAAGAACGGATCGCGAAAGCAAACAAGAGTGTAGGAAGATT